GAGGGCGGCCAGGGGTCGTAAATGGATCGTGGGTAGAAAATGCTGCAGGAGGCCCACAGCAACTGTTCTACTGAACTTTCGGTCTTCTAGGAGTGGAAGATGGCCAGACTGTGAGGATGCCTGTAGGAAAAAGAGAAATTTTCATCACATTCAAGGTAGGCACCCGCCCCACGGCTTCTGCTGGGCCTTGCTCTTGGAGTAGGAGTGACCGAGGCTGCTTGTTGGCACAAGGGCAGCGATTCATGGAGCACACCTTGCCACTCATGTTCCTTTTGTTGTTTTATTTTAGCTTGCTTTAAGGCACATGCACTCACCAGTGAAAGAAGGAGAGACAGAGAGAGAGTGAGAAACTACCCCCGGGGGCATGGCCATGCTGCAGTCTTTTCTCCTCTTAGGATTTGGGCGTGCATACACATGTGCCCACCATCGTGCTGGGTCTGGGTCTCAACTGTGCTGTCACCCATGTGGGATCCAGCTGCCTTAACCTCCATGCCATCTGCTGGCCCCGCTGCTCGTGTTTCTGAGAAGCTGTGGCTGCCTCAGTGTGGTTATCAGCTGTTACCAGCCAAGTTTTGTGTCTGGTGTAGAACAAATACAACTTCCTCCAGGTGTTTACAAGGTAGTGGTGCAAGTCGGTGTGGAGGAGGAGTGGCGGATACTAAAGCTGGGTGATGGTGTAACTGGGCAGGGGTGAGGTAGCCGCACTTGTAGCATTTCATGATCCAAGCTGGGTTGTGGGACACTGTTCCATTGTTTGCCCTCCTTGTATATGTGAGATACTTCATAATTTAAAATGAAGGCAATAACATAATGTTAAGGTGATGAATCTTCTAGACTGAGAAACCAAAGACAGTCAGGAAACTGTAAGCTAATCTAGAAAGAAAAGTCTGCTAGAGAATCAGCTTCTGTTCCCATCTAACTGAGAGGGAGATCAGTTAGGTTAAAAAGATCTCGGTCCAGGGGCCGATAGGCGGTGTGCTGGTGAAAGTGCTAGACTCCCACATGTCCAGTAGAGATTCGAGTCCTGGATCAGGTGGCTTGCTTTCTCTCTCTCTGGTCAAATTAAAAATTAATAATAAATAAAATTAAATAAATCTTATTTTTTAAGAGTGGCTTTTTTGCTGTAGGATGTGTGCGCTCACCAGAGAGACACAAAGAGAGAAATCACCCTCTGGGGTGATGGCCACACCACAATCCCTTCTCCATTCTCCTCTTGGGATCTTGGGCATGTACATACACATATGAGTTTCAAGCCATTGGATTTGGGACTTGCACCGTGTTCGACCACATGGGAGTCCAGCGACATAACCATTATGCCATCTGCTAGTCCCAAATAAATAGTTCTTTCAAAAAAATAAAAAAATCTGGGTCCAGGGACCAGCAGAGGGCATAGTGGTCATATCACCAGACTCCCATGTAGTCAACTGCGGTTCGAGTCCCAGACCCAGTGGCTTGAAACTCATTCCAGGTGTATGTGTGTGCCTAGGATCCCAAGAGAAGGGATTGTGGCGTGGCCATCCCCCCGGGGGGCAAGTTCTCACTTTCTGTTTCTCTTGTCTCTTGTTGTCTCTCTGGCAAGCACACATACCCAATAGGAAAAATCAATCTTATAAAAAAAAAAAAAAAACTTGGTCCAGCACATGGTGTGGTGGTTAAGGTGTCTGGATCCCACATGACCAACTGCACAGTATGAGTCTCGGGCCTGGTGGCTTGAAAAGCATGCCAGGTGTGTGTGCCGAAAATCCTAAGAAGAGCATGAAAAAGGGATTGTGACTTGGCCCTCCTCCAGGACATGATTTCTCACCGTCCCTTTTTCTCTGTCTCCAGCAAGTGTACGCCCTATGGCAGATATCTAAATAATAATAAAAAAAAAAAAGAATCTTTGAGACACAAAACAATATTTACAAAATCAAATGGAGGAGGGCAGCAGGTGGCATAGGGGTTGGGGTGCTTGACTTCCACATGATCAGCCGTGGTTCGAGTCCTGGACCCAAAGGCTTGAAACTCACTTCAGTCTCATATGTGTGCATACCCAAGATCCTGAGGAGAATGGAGGAGAAGGGATTGTAGCGTGACCATCCCCCCTGGGGGGTGATTTCTCGCTTTCTGTCTCTATGTCTCTCTCTGTCTGTCTGGC